TCTGGGCCTGTATAGCGCTTGTTGGGCTGGGCCTGGCGACGCGGTCGTTCCAGCCCAGTCGCCTTGGTCGTGGCGGTGTCATCCTGGTCTTCTGCTGTTGGGGCCTGAGGGCCATGGGCCGTAACATCCCTCCCTCCTTCAGACACAGCTTGTCCCCAAGCTGGAGCATTCGAGAAATGTTGTTGTAGCTCGATGCGGTCCTCCCAGGTTGCAAATTCCGCCGATTGGTCCGTCCAGCGAACAAGGACCTGTGGAACTCCGGAAGTGCCTCGCTGCACCATTCTGCTGTCCAGAACCTCCTCGGGAACGGGACTTGTCGCTGCTGCTGCTGGAAGTTGCTGGTGGACTTGCTCCGTTGGTGGAAGGGCTTGCCGCAGCTGCGAGACGTGGAAGACCGGGTGCACAGTGCTGGTAGGTGGAAGCTGGAGCTTGTATGCAACCGCACCAATGCGCTGCAACACCTTGGACTCCGGCAGCCCATGCAATTTGTAGATGTTAGCCACGAAAGCTTGAGCAACTTGGAAGGCTGTGAAAGGATGTGACATGGCAACGAAATGGGCGTACTGTGAAAATTTGTCGACGACCACGAGAATGGAGTTGTATCCTGATGACCGAGGCAACCCATCGACAAAATCCAATGACACCATCTGCCAAGCTTGAGTGGGAACCGGTAGTGGCTCGAGGAGACCTGGGTACCGAACTCGCTCAGGCTTCGCTTGTTTGCAGGTCTGGCATGCGTCCACAAAGAGCTTGATGTGGTGCTTGAGTCCCGGCCATGTAAACAGTCGCCGCACTCTGCGGTACGTGGCGTTGAAACCCGAGTGACCACCGATCGCTCCGGTGTGGAGGGCCTCGAGAATCTGCTTCTGTAATGCCACATTGTCACCCAACCAAACCCGACCGTGCTGCTTGATAACCCCCTGGCTGAGTTGAAAACCATCCTGCTTTCCTGGCGCTGTGGCCAGCCGAGCGAGCAAAACTTGCGCTGCCGGGTCTTCAGCATAGCCTTTTTGCACCTCCTCCAGCCAGGCCGGTACTGCTGATGTAATGGTGGCGAGGTCCCCCTGCGGGACAGGCGGCCGGCGCGATAAGGCATCAGCGGCACGGTTATCCACTCATTTTTTGTAGATGATGCGATAGCGGAGCCCGAGCAGCTTGGCCATGATCTTCTGCTGCCATGGTGTCGCTAGTCGCTGGTCCTCCAAGTGAATGAGACTGCACTGGTCTGTGTGTACTATGAATTCGTCATTCTGGAGATACGCACGCCAATGGTCTACCGCCAAGAGAATGGCCAGGCCTTCCTTTTCATAGGTGGAGAGCATGTGATTGCATGGTCCCAATGCGCGACTGAGGAAGCCAATCGGGTGCTTCTCTTGTGAGAGAACTGCGCCAATTCCTTGGTCACAAGCATCAGTTTCCAGCTCGAATATTTTAGTGAAATCCGGCAGGGCGAGCACCGGGGCTGTGACCAGAGCCTGTTGGAGTTCTCTGAATGATGCCTCTTCGAGTTGAGTCCACCTGAACACCACATTCTTCTTCAAGAGATCTGTGAGGGGGCGATTGATGATTGCAAATCCTCGGACGAACCTCCAATAATGGCCCGCAAGGCCCAAGAAACCACGCACCTCTTTCACACAAGTGGGTACTGGCCAAGTCTGAACCGCGCTGATGTTTCTGTTATCCGTCCGCACCCCTTCCCCGCTGATTTCATGTCCCAGATATAAGAGCCTGGGGCGAGCAAAGAAGCATTTGCTTCGCTTGAGCTTGAACTGATGCTCCTGGAGGCGCTGGAACACTTGGCGCAGCAGGGTCACATGTGTCTTCTTGTCTTTGTTGTGCACTAAGATATCATCGATGAACACGAGGACTCCATGGCGCAGTAAGGGTGACAGTACTGTGTGCATCCCACCCTGAAAAGTAGCTGGTCCTCCCGTCAACCCGTATGACAGCACCTTGAACTCGAAATGCCCATGATGTGTTTTGAAAGCTGTTTTGTGGGCATCTTCCGGTTTCATGCGAATCTGATGATAGCCAGAGCGCAAGTCGAGAGTGGTGAACCAGCATGACCCTGCCAGCTCGTTGAGAAGTTCTTCAATCACTGGTAAGGGAAACCTATTCTTGATTGTGATTGCGTTGAGGTGCCGGTAATCAATGCAGAATCGCCAAGTCAAGTCTTTCTTCTCCACCAATAGGACCGGTGACGCAAACGGACTGGAGCTTGGCTGAATTATCCCTTGAGCTAACATCTCAGTGACTTGCCGTTCCACCTCATCTTTTTGGGCCGGGCTATGCCGATAGGGTCATATGTTGACTGGTCGAGCTCCCGGCACCAAGGGAATGGAATGATCAAACGAGCGTTGTGGTGGCAGCCCTTTGGGTTCCTTGAATAGTGCGCCATACTGTTCCAAGAGTTCAGTCACTTTCGGAGGAATTGGAGGATCGTTCGTGTCTTCTGCCACTGTACACAGTTTGACCACTCTGGCCACCGCTGCCTGTTGTAGTAATTCGTGTAGTTCCGCTCCCGAGATCATCTGACACCGAGTGATATCTGCTCGAGCCCCACAGAGTTGCACTTATCGTCCATCATGCTGAAACGCCATGGTCTTCTCCAGCCAGTGTACCTTCATTGGGCTATGGTGAGCCAGCCAGTCAATCCCAAGAATTACATCATAACTGCCCAGTGGAAGAACTCTGAGATTGGTGGTGAACTCGACCCCCTGCGAATTCCACTTGCACGCTGGGATCTCTTGGTCAGACTACAGAATACCGCCATTTGCCACCCACACAAATAGAGCACGATGAGCAGGCTTAACTCCTTGGAAGTGAGTGGCCAGGGCAGCGCTCACGAAGCTGTGGGATGAACCGGAATCCACCAGCATGAGGACCTCCTTGCCTTGCACCCAGCCATGTAAGCACATGGTTGTTGGCGCTTCCGCACCGTCTACTGCTCACGCAACAGTCAGCTTCACTTGGTGTGGACTCTGTGGATGGTGTTGGTTGTGCCGGCCCTTGCAACATCTTGATCAGCTCTTCCACTATATGAAGTTGCACCGTTGGCGCGCAACGATGTTCGCGGCTCCAGCGCTCGCCGCAAGTGAAACAGAGCCCTTTGGTGCGACGGTAGGCCCGAAGGGTGGCCAGCTTGTCGTCGTTCGATGGAGTACGAGTCGTCTCCGGTGGGCGTGACTCTGATGCAGTACCCCCTTGCCGAGCGATTGTTGATGGTGGTGGGGGTAAGGGCAGGGCCATACGAGGGATTGCCCGGCCCCCTTGAGAGCTTGGCGGCAGCGCGGGGTGGCGCCTCTCATCCTGCCGAAGAGCCTCCACGACTTCTTCCTGCAAACACGCGAGATCCACAGCAGTATCCAATGTTTGGGGTAGATGTAAAACAACTGCAGCACGTATATCACGTTGCAATCCATCCATGAATTGGGTGACAAAAAATGTAGGATCCCAAGAGCTATGATGAGCTAATAGGTTATGCATCAACTGAGTGAATTGCTCTGCGTATTCTGTGACAGTGCCTGTTTGTCGCAAGCGATTGAACTGGCGCAACAAATTCTGAAACTCTCCCCTACCAAACTGTGCACAAATAATAGATGCAAACTCCCCCCACTCCTGGTAATGCAAATGGGCTTGCGATGACTGCAGCCATGACAGTGCGCTGTCGGTGAAATACATTGCCGCACAACTAACCCATGTGTCCGCACTCAAGGTGCACACCCGAAAGTATGCCTCACATTTGAGACGCCAGGCACGCGGATTGGATCCATCTAACAATGGAAAATCAAACCGCGGCGGTGGTGGCAATCTGAAGTACCCACGATCCCCAGCAAATGACTGCTCGCCATGGTGATAGAAATCGGACGTACCAGTGGCCGGAGGTACTCGCGGGGTGCGGATCTCCCCTGACGATTTCCCTCGAAGATCGGTGAAAACGCCGTGGCCATCGGGCCCGTGATTGGTGTCACCACGAGCTGAGATGTCGACGGCGCGCAGATGAGGTGTGTCGGCCGTCGGTGGTGGCAATTGGGGCCGCGATCCATCCGCGATGTGAGGTAGGAGCCGCGGAAGCTCGCTGAGCCGCGGAGGAGGAGGTGGTGGAGCAGTCGTCGTGGCCCTGTCCACCGGCGGTGGGAGCGTGGCCTTGTCGATCTGAGTCCGCAAGTGACCCACCTCCGATCGGATCTGCTCCACGGACTGCTTGATCTGGGGCCGCCATCCTTGCAGCTCGTGGACGACGGGGTGGATGTCCTCGATCTTGGTTGTGAGGGCCGCGATTGCCGCGGTCAGATCCGCGATCACCTTGGTGTGCTCCTCCATCGTCGCGGCCTTGCCCTTTCTTGTCTGGATGATGGATGGAAATCTCCCCGCCAGATTGGGGAGGGTGGAGAAAAAAATTGGTTGGATCTGGTGGCTCTGATACCAATTGTTATGGCCTCGCTAACACTTCACTCGAATTCGCCAAGAGATACAAGATTTGACTAGCAGAAGTAGGGTTCTAGGGGAAGGAAATGGGGATAAGGGGAAGTGCCGCCGCCGTCCAGTGTCTAGTTTCTCCCCCCCCCCCTCCGCACCCAGGGCGAGGGCGCAGTACTTAACCCTTCCTGTCGGTGTTCCATTCTGGGCCTGTATAGCGCTTGTTGGGCTGGGCCTGGCGACGCGATCGTTCCAGCCCAGTCGCCTTGGTCGTGGCGGTGTCATCCTGGTCTTCTGCTGTTGGGGCCTGAGGGCCATGGGCCGTAACATTCAACGTGTGACGCCGTTCCCACACGAAGCTTGCCTCATCTTCCACGAGCGCCCAGACCACCACCAGCAGTGGCGGAGCCACCTCCCGGCTACCCGGGGCAGCTGCCCGGGCTCAGCCATGCACTCTAGTTTGAATAATAGCAGTAAATGGAGAGCTAATCATCATATTATAGGGGCAAACAACTGATAGACAGCAGCCATGTGTACTTTGCCCCGGCTCGCCGGCCGAGCTGGCTCCGCCACTGACCACCAGCCGATGCCCGTATCTAGGCTCTCTATCGCGATAAGCGGTTAGACACAACTCTCCCTGCAACACACTCAACTTGAAGCGTTTATCAACGTTGTTGTCATCGTCTTCGGGGTCCGACGGATCAGAAGGCAAATGGATGTGGCTCAACGCCTCATCGTCCAAGCCGAAGCGGAGGAGGCAACGCGGGTGCGGCTCCAGGCTGGTATAGTTGTCGACGTGGACGATCCAGTACACACCCCCATTGACAGATTGCGCGGTCACCCATGGATTGGCTGTGTACCGTCGATCCGCCATGATTTCCCTCCATTGAGGAGGAGCAGGGTCGCCCACGGTGCACACCTCCACCCCGTTGTAGAGCTCATCATCTCTCGAACGAAGGAAGAACTGGACTACCTTGTACATGCCACTGCGAAGATCACGGCCAAACCCAATGGGGCGGAGGGAAGGGGGCACAATGCCGTGGCTGCTCTCCGGCAGCGTGACGACGTCCCTGGTGGCGGGGTTGAAGAGGTATGCCGTGGTGTCTGTGGGGACAAGCACCAGGCCGTCACAATGGGGGAACAAGAGAACCAAGTTGAAGTAGTCAGTACAGTCCCTGCTGTGCACGAGCCAAGCCTCGGAGGTGCCTTGCTGCCACTGGAAGAACCCGATGTCTCCTTTGCCGTCGTCATCCAGGCTGTGCCGGGTGATGAGGAAGGGTGGGTTCTGCTCCCATCTGCAGGCGGCGGACATCTTGAGGTGCCGTCGGACGAAGGAGGGGTTGGATATGGTTGCGCGCCAGGCCTTGCTGATGCACTTAAAACGGAGGAGAGACTTGACCGGCAGTCGGGTCAGGATCTCTGAAACGAGCTCGTCCGGCAGCTCGGGAGTCGGCGCCTCATTGCTTTTTTTCTGCTCATTGGAAGTCGTCATGGCGTAAGTGGAGAAGGAAGCAAAAACACTGCGATGTACGTACGTACTAGAGCTCGGGATTGCTAGTAGTTGTGGGTATACGTGTGTGTATATATACACAAACAACATACCTGAGGTTTCCCACTTGAAGACGGTGTCCCTGGCAGCCTCCGATTAGACTTACACCCTTTTCTGAAACACAAACCAAGGTTACACGGTGTTGGATTTGGATCGGATTTACGTGTGCGTAGCGCAGGATAAGTCTGTCAGTGCGGCGGTGACCGTGTGTGCCTGTGCATGACTTTTTCTCTACCACATGTGTGGAAACATAAACTAGCAAGGGAAACTCTCCACCTCAGGTGACTGATCCTATTAATCCACCGGACCAGCTCTGAGCCATTGATTTGTTCTCCATCCCACGATCCGCGTGACTCTTCTTTCTCTTTTTCCATGGCCCCGTTAATGACAACCATGAATCAGCACACCCATCTGCCCGTTCCATAAACATTATGTACCTCCTTCCGAGTTCCTTCCCTAAACCTAATTCTCCATGGTTGCCGCCGCCGCTGGAGCCGAGACCTGTTGCCCGTGGTGTGCGAGTCATGTGGTATTGGTGTGGGCATACACCAGTTTCGTCCTGGAAAAGGACGAAGACACCGGTGGCATGTAGACATCGCCCTTGGGAGTTGGGAACAAGAACTCCAGAATCTTAAGCGGCGGGAGTCGGTTTGGCTGGCAGCGTCGTACTTCAACTATTTTGCGGAGGACCATAGGTCTCTGTCGTAGTGCTAAATCCGATAGTAAGATAGGTATGAGAATTAGTAGTAAATAACTTTGATAGGGTTCTCTTCTAGTCTTTGAAAAATTCCTTAATTGAAGGGTACACAATTACTTTTCTGGAACAGCAAATAAGCAGGAAAGGAAAATAAAATAAAAAATGAAGAGAATTTAAATCTGGCTCCAAGTACTTACAACAGTATTTGTTGCACATGCTATAGTAATAAGGATGCTTAAAACAACTGAAATTGTACGTAACATGAAATCACGAACTTTATTGTAACCCGGCTCCATGAGTTTCCTTTCTTTCAGATGTATGTATCTAGCTATATATGCACGAATAAACATCCAGACTATAGGATCTTGTCAAACCTAATGTGTGAAGTACACTTTATAAGTTTCTGCACAAATTTCTGAAGTCTACGTAGATATTGTTGCACCTCGGTCGATATTTGATCTTTTAATTAAACATAATCAAACATTTCCTACAATGTGAATTCTTTGTACAAGCTTCACTGCTCATACTTATGTTTCTTTTAATTTCTTGTTACCTACAGAATGTCTGGACACCATCAAAAGTGATTGCTCGTCTTGGCAAAGAAATAAATGATGAAAGCTCCTACCTTTATTGGGCAGACAAGGTAGGACGCTTTTGACAGTTCTTCGTTATTTTTCAAATTATCAGAAAGTCTGAAGGCATGTGTTTGTGTAAATGCTGATCATATTTAAGAAGTTTGTAAATAACTATGTTTGGTAAACAGGGAGATAAACTAGGGTTTCTTCTTAAGAATTTTGTTGAGTTTGATTCTCATATTGGTATTGTTTTACCAGAAAAAAATCTTTATCGTATTGAGTCTTATGATTTTACCCAGAAATAGGAATCATTCCTGAACCAAACTTTTCTTTTGTCGGAAGTGGTGGGTCACAGTTGATATGACCGCGACTAATGTTAGTGTTGTTGATGATCGCAAAATAGTACCGCATGTCAGTGGGTTAAAGGAACTATTTTCTGTTACAAGAAAACAAGACGTTGGTTTATTTGATCTTTATGCCAACGAGGAGAAAAAGAAGTCCCTGGACGTGCATGTATTGAAGGGGGGAAATTGCATGCGAGGTAAATTACTAACTCAAGACAGGAGATATACATGCAATATTGACCAGGCTCAGTTTGGCAAGGAAATACCAACGTGCATTAATTCCTTAGAAGTAAAGGCAACCTATGCTAATGGAAGGAATCATGTAAGATCTGATTTGTTTGCATCGGTCAACAAGATAAAAAGAAGAGATATCTTTCTATTTATTCCGCTCCCACGCAAGTTAAAGTATATCAATTACATGAGGTGTACAAGCAGAATTAGACATACTAAGCTTGAGAGGATGCGGGTGGGGTCCACCTTCCCGAGGAGAAGTTGTACGAACCAAAATATGGAGTCCTAGTTTGTTATACGGTACTAGGTGATCAAGGCTGCCGGATACAGTTAAATCTTTGATTAGTTTAAATAGGAGAGAGAGTCCGTTTCAATCTAGAGTTGTTAGGCCAGTTTTGTTATTTGTGTGTTGGTTATAAAAAGGGCCGGACACCCGTATCAAGATTTGAAGGAATCTTTAGAAAACCTCTGTGTTGCAATTTCTTTTCGTGAAAATTATTTTGCGTGTAAGTACCTTCGTCGAGATTGGTTTCTCGTGCTGGGCCGCAAGGTTCAAACCCTCTACTTCGTGTACATCGCGTGTGCGGGCGAGAGGTTGCTACTACTAAAGGTGGAGTGTCATGAAAGATCGGGCCGCAACAACAGACCGGATCTCACCACGAGGTTCGGTCCATAACAACAGTTTAGTAGATGTAAGCATGGTACAGTTGTTGGCTGGCTGTTACACTTGTTGGGTTGTCCTTCGCTTTATTCCATCGAGAATATGTTTCACACTGGGTTGGTTTTTCTGGGTTGAAATTCGTAACTTTCAAGAACTATTTGTGCAAAGACTGAAGTTGCAAAGTGTTGACTCGTTAAAATCGACCAGAACAATATTCCTGTGTAGTGCCCAACATTGACAGATGGAACGCTCGGAGACATGCTGTTTTGTCATGCAGCTCACAATCCTGGTCTTATTATCGACATTGTACAAGGTAAGTTTCAGTTTATTTGATATTCTTAATTTGTGTTCATTTTCAAATGCTTGAATGGTTTTGCAGATATAAGGCTGATAAATGGTGAAGCCATTCATGCAAGCCCAAGGAAGACAGGGGTCATAATTCTTGGTGGAGCCGTTCCAAAGCATCACATATGCAATGCAAATATGTTTCGCAATGGTGCAAATTATGCAGTCTATATCAACACAGCTCAAGAGTTTGATGGAAGCGACCCAGGAGCACGGCCAGATGAAGCAGTTTCATGGGGAAAGATCAAAGGTTCAGCAAAGCCTGTAAAGGTATATATAGATGTTCACAAGTTTGAGATAATTTTGTTTTGTGTTGTTTTGTGTTTTGCATACTAGTACTAGGTAAAATGTTCCTTAGGTATATGGTATAATGATCATGATGCACCTGCTCATGTGTTTTGCAATTTGTTTATAGAAAATTGCATGCATCATCCTGAGCTGGCTTATAATATTTAGACCATCTTGATTTATCATTTTCCCATGTACACTGTAGAATAATATTGCAGCCTATGAGTTTATGGTACAGGTGATTTTAAGGGACATAATTGTGCTGTATAATGGTGTCATACATCATATTTGATGATCATCATTATTGTAATCTAACATTCCAGCTTTTGGAAATCCAGGTCCACTGTGATGCGACTATTGCGTTCCCATTACTCGTAGCCGCAACATTTGCACGTGGATCTCATAGTGGAAATTCAACCAGCTGAATTTCTGGCAGCCAACCAAGAGCCTCAAAATGATATTTTTTTTTCTTATTGATCTCAAATCATGTGTCTGGACTCTTTGGAGGATAACATGGAAGGTTTTTGTCAGATGCTGACCACAGTTACTGATTCCTTTTGTATGTTTTGTAATGAGATTATGTATGGATTGCCAACATATAAGGAAATATTTGGAAATGGACGACTGAGTCTGGAAAAACTGCGAATTTATAAGGAAAGTATCTGGTGAGGATCCTTTGATCTTTCAAGACTGGGGACTTGAAAAAGTGGGCAGGCTTACAGCATTGGGTCAACAAAATAAAGTTGTTTGGTTGAATCAGTTTGTTGGTTGATCCCTCGTACAAACGGGTGGGAAGTTTGTAAATAGAGATCGCGATACAGTATTATGAAAATACTTGCAAATGCTATAGTCCCTATTACATCGCAGTTTGTTAACCTGCGTCTGGGTTGCCGCAGCTGAAGCAGAATGACCAACCACGCCTCACCAACTCAACATTGTTGTAGCCTTCAGTTCCGCTGAAGGCTATTCTGCATTTTCAACACAAAATAGCATCGCCATACAGCTTTCCTATGTACAACATTTCTTGCTTTAATAAAGTTACACCATTTCTCGAAGAGAATGAATAAAACTAGACCAAGAGGGGTCAACAAGATCCTCAATGAGAAAAATGGAAGTTACATCAAGTCATGTTCCTCTTTTTCATTTATATCGTGATCATCTCTTAAACATCCGGTGAAGAGACATAAGCAACCCGCCGAGGACTTATTCGGTTTGCAGTTTTCCTAGAGGATTCTTACAAGATTTTGATCATCTGTGTAGAATTTGTTTCAGAGGAACAGAGGTACAGGATTCCAAATCTATATTGACCTCAATCCCGAGGGGGAGCATTACTAAGAGCTCGTGGAATTTTCTAAAGATTTGAGTGGGCATCTCATTCTAACCATTTACTTTTCCTACTCATGTGATTTGGAAATCCTATAAACTGAACGAGCCCTCAAAGAATAATGGCTAGAGGCATGCTCCCCACAAGATAGGTTATCAAATCGTTGTTTCACCGTCGAACAACCAGAAAGGAAAACAAGAGCATGAAAGGAAACCGAACAAGTTTGGGAATTTCATAAAATGTTTGTGTTTTAAAAAATTGTTCATAAATTAAAAAAATGCCTGCCTTTTAAAAAATATTCAGAAATTACAAAAACTGTTCACATTTTCCAAAAAAACTCTATCTTTTATTAAAAAATCGTATTTTCCAGAAAAATCGAAATTGAAAAGTACCATCTAAAAAGTCGTGGCCTCCCCTTTGGGCCTTGATGTTTTTGCTGTGGGAGACGGGAAGCTTAAGCTTGAGGCCAAGCCCAGCAAACAGGACAGCCACCGCCTGCGGAAGCCGCCGCCACGCCACGCCGTGAAACTGTACAGGCCAGCCGGAATCCGACGGCGCCTCTCCCTCTCCCTCCACCGCGCCGAGCTCCCCACAAAACACCGTCCCGGACGCACGCCTCTCCAAGTCCGCCGGCCCCCGACGCCCTCTCCGACGAGTAGGCCAGGCCTCTCTCCACCACGCCGCGCCGGGTCCCCGCCGCCGCCGACCTCCTTCGCCTCTCCCCTCCCCTCCGCCGCCATGCTTCTGGGCGCTAAGGTGGTACCCCGCGACAAGGTGAGTTCCCTTGCATCCCCTGCCTTCCACTTCTTAGCCTGCGCACCGCACGGGATTTGATTTCATTTGATTTTGATTTTACTCCCCTTTACTTTTCTAGAAGCAGCAAGGAGGCGGCGAGGAGGCGGAGATGGGAGGTGACGGGATGAGGGCAAGTGAGGTTGTTAGCAAGGAGATGGAGGGCGTCCGTGCCATCGTGCTCAAGCCGTCCGAGTCCCTCGACGAGTCGCGGTTCACCAAAATCGCCGGCGCCGACTTCAACGACGCCGGCCTCGGCCTCGACGGCCTTCTTGGCTCGCTCGCCTCCACGGGCTTCCAGGCGTCCAACCTCGGCGACGCCATCGACGTCGTCAATCAGATGGTATGCCCGCCTTTTCCCTTTCTCCCTCAGCCGCGAGCTTTGCCCTTTTCAGCATGGGATTAGTTCGCAGATACTCCAGCACCGGAGTAATTTATTTCGCCATTTGGAGCACTTAGATAGCTGGATATATATCGTTTCGATGCCAGGGTGAAGCTGATAAGTGTTTTTTCCCCAAAGCAAATCTTGTAGATGTATCTGAACAGCCTAGCTGAATGTGTGTGCGTCTCCTATTTAATCCAAGTGCTTTGCATTAAATTAGCTGGAGATGATCTATATGAAGGAATGCCTGTCATATCACTATGCATGCTTCCGAAAATTAAGTACTCGTTTCCAGAATTTCTGCCGATTTTCGCTACTCCTTACATTCTACTGACACTTCCTCCACTGTAATTCTCTACAATGAAGTTAGATTGGAGCTTGTCGCATGAGAAGCCAAGCGAGGACTGTGATGAAGCTGAACTTGACCCGAAATACAGAGAATCTGTCAAGTGCAAGATATTTCTTGGTTTCACTTCAAACCTTGTTTCTTCCGGTATACGGGATGTTATACGGTTTCTGGCTCAGCATCACATGGTAAGTGCTCCAACTTGTGTCACGTTTGCAAATCTGAAAGGAAAACAACTTTAAATATCATTTTAAGAACCTGTGTAGCACAAGTATGCCTAGTCTCCTAGAGATGTTTGTTCCAGTCAATTACTAACTTCACTAACTGCATTGCCATTGATGATATTTTCCACAAAATTCTTCAGGTGGATGTTATTGTTACGACAGCTGGGGGTATAGAGGAAGACCTCATAAAATGCCTCGCACCAACTTACCGAGGTGAATTTTCTTTACCTGGGGCACTGCTACGGTCAAAAGGACTTAACCGGATAGGAAATCTGTTGGTGTCCAACGATAACTATTGCAAGTTTGAAAACTGGATCATGCCACTCTTTGACCAGATGCTACAAGAACAATCTGCTGAGGTAATCATTCCTCTTGGCTTAAACACAGCTGGTAATAATCTGTTTTAGTTTTCCTTCGGTATGTCCCTGGTTACCGAAGTCCCCCGATACTGTGGATTATGGCTACCCTTCCTTGTACGTGTCATGGGCCCATTATAGTGCACATGGAAGCTTCTGATGCATAAATTAGCTGCAAAGTTGGTAATTTGCAGGGGATGCATGAATAGGAGAGTACATTAATTATATCTTGTATTTAGCGAAACTAGTAGTGATATAATTTTGATAGGGTTGTCTTCTAGTCTTTGAAAATTTCCTTAATTGAAGGGTACACAATTACTTTTCTGGAACAGCAAATAAGCAGACACTATTTGTTTCACATGCTATAGTAAGGATGCTTAAAACAACTGAAATTCTACATAACATGAAGTCACGAACTTTATTGTAACCCGGCTCCATGAGTTTCCTTTCTTTCAGATGTATGCATCTAGCAATATATACATGAATAAAACATCCAGACTACAGAATCTTGTCAAACCTAATGTGTGAAGTACACTTTATAAGTTTCTGCACAAGTTGCTGAAGTCTACGCAGATATTGTTGCACCTCGGTTGATATTTGATTGTTTAATTAAAGATAATCCAGCATTTCCTACAATGTGAGTTCTTTGTACAAGCTTCACTGTTGACCACACTTATGTTTCTTTTAACTTCTTGTTACCTACAGAATGTCTGGACACCATCAAAAGTGATTGCTCGTCTTGGCAAAGAAATAAATGATGAAAGCTCCTACCTTTACTGGGCATACAAGGTAGTATGCTTTTGAAAGTTCTTCGTTATTTTTCAAATTATCAAAAAGTCTACAGGCATGTGTTTGTGTAAATGCTGATCATATTTAGGAAGTCTGTAAATAACTATGTTTGGTAAACAGGGAGATAAACTAGGGTTTCTTCTTAAGAATTTTCTTGAGTTTGATTCTCATATGGGTTTTGTTTTACCATAAAAAATTCTTTACCGTATTGAGTATTATGATTTTACCCAGAAATAGTAATCGTTCCTGAACCAAACTTTTATTTTGTCTGAAGTGGTGGGTCACAGTTTAGGAGATGTAAGCATGGTAGAGTTGCTGGCTGGCTGTTACACTTGTTGGGTTGTCCTTCACTTTATTCCATGGAGAATATGCTTCACACTGGGTTGTTTTTCTGTGTTGAAATTCTTAACTTTCAAGAACTATTTGTGCAAAGGCTGAAGTTGCAAAGTGCTGACTCGTTAAAATCGACCAGAACAATATTCCTGTATACTGCCCAGCATTGACTGATGGATCACTCGGAGACATGCTGTTTTGTCATGCAGTTCACAATCCTGGTCTTATTATTGACATTGTACAAGGTAAGTTCCACTTTATTTGATATCCTTACTTTGTGTTTGTTTTCAAATGCTTGAGTGGTTTGCAGATATAAGGCTGATAAATGGTGAAGCCATTCATGCAAGCCCAAGGAAGACAGGGGCCATAATTCTTGGTGGAGGCCTTCCAAAGCATCACATATGCAATGCAAATATGTTTCGCAATGGTGCAGATTATGCAGTCTATATCAACACAGCTCAAGAGTTTGATGGAAGCGACTCAGGAGCACAGCCAGATGAAGCAGTTTCATGGGGAAAGATCAAAGGTTCAGCAAAGCCTGTAAAGGTATATATAGATGTTCACAAGTTTGAGATATTTTTGTTTTGTGTTTTGCATACTAGTACTAGGTAACATTTTCCTTAGGTATTAGGGTATAATGATCATGATGCACCTGCTCATGTGTCCTGCAATTGGTTTATAGAAAATTGCATGCATGATCCTGAGCTGGCTTATAATATTTAGACCATCTTGATTTATCATTTTCCTGTGTACACTGTAGAATAATATTGCAGCCTATGAGTTTATGGCAGTACGAGTGATTTCTAGAGACATAATTTTGCTATGCAATGGTGCCATACATCATATTTGATGATCATCATTATTGTAATCTAACATTCCAGCTTTTGGAAATCCAGGTTCACTGTGATGCTACTATCGCTTTCCCATTACTTGTAGCCGCAACATTTGCACGGAGGTCTCATAGTGCAAATTCAACCAACTGAATTTCTGGATGCGAACTAAGGGCTTGAAATTTATTTTTTTATTGATCTCCAATTGTCCGGACCCTTTGGAGGATAACATAGAAGGTTTTTTGTCGATGTACACCTGAGGTTGTAATACCAATTGTATGCTTGTAATGAGATTGTGTAAGAGGAAATGGACGATTGAGTCGTTCCTCTCTTTATCTGACTGGAAAAAACTGCGACTTTATAAACAAAGTATCTGGTGAGGATCATTTGGTTTTGTAAGACGGGGGACTTGAAAAAGTGGACAGGCTTACAGCATTGGGCCAACAAAATAAAGTTGTTTGGTTGAATCAGTTTGTTGACTGTTCCCTCGTACAAACCGGGTGAGAAATTCTTGCTAAAATTGTTAATAGAGATCGTGATACGGTATTATGAAAATTCTTGCAAATGCTATGGTCCCTATTACATTAGGGTTCGTTAACCGGCGTCTGGGTTGCCACAGCTGAAGCAGAACGATCGACCACGCCTAACCATGTCAACATTGTTGTACCCTTCAGTTCTGCTGAAGGTTATTCTGCATTTTCAACACAAATAGTATCGCCATACAGCTTTCCTATGTCCAGCATTTCCTACGCCATCCGCCCAATGTGCATTTTCTCGAAGAGGGGTCAACAAGGTCCTCAATGAGAAAATTGGAAGGTTACATCAAGTCAGTATTCCTCTTTTTCATTTATATCGTGATCATCTCTTAAACATCCTGTGAAGAGACATAATTAACCAGCTGAGTACTTATTCGGTTCGCGGTTTTCCAAGAGGATTCTTACAAGATTTTGATCCTCAGGAATTTTTCATCTGTGTAGAATTTGTTTCACAGAACAGAGGTACAAGATTCCAGAGGATTGTGTCTACATTGACCTCAGTCCTTGCAGGATTATTTTGTTCATTCCGGAGGAGGATTCTTAGCATTATGTGAGACCTCATGAAAATTTTCTAAGGATTTGAGTTGGGATCTCATTCTAACCATTTACTTTTCCTACCCCTGTGATTTGGAAATCCTGTAAACCGAACAAGCCATTAAATCAAATAATAATGGCTAGAGACACAGTCCCCACAAAACAGGTTATCAAATCGTTGTTGCATCGTCGAACAAACAGAAAGAAGAACAAGAGCATGAAACCAAACAATTTTGAGAATTTCATAAAATGTTTGTGTTTTCAAAATTTGTTCATAAATTAAAAAATGCTTGCACTATTTTCAGAAATTACAAAAACTGCTCAAATTTTCCATAACACACTCTTTTATTAACAAAAATCGTATTTGCCAGAAAAATCGGAATTTTAAAGTAGCACCTAAAAAAGACTGCTACAGTGCCAGTACGACACAGTGCATCAGTCGTGACCGTGCGCGTTAAATGGGCGGGCCAGTCGTGGCCTCCCCTTTGGGCCTTGATGTTTTTGCTCTGGGAGACGGGAAGCTTAAGCTTGAGGCCCAGCCCAGCAAACAGGACAGCCGCCACGCCGTAGGTGTTGGAACCAACCAGAGCCGGAATCAGAGGCGGGCGATGGGCAAGGAAGCAGGACGTACTCTATGGGCGTGTTTGGTTGCCCGCGTTGAGCCCAACCAGACCCGCGCGGGAAGGAAGAGGCCTGTTTGGTTGCCTGGTTTCATTGTTGGGCCTGCATCACACGCTTCTCAAAGCATCCCAGAGCCTGGCTCGCTGGAAACGCTCGGATCGGCAGTTTCTCGCGAGGCAGGCTGAGTGCGGCGCGAGGTTGCACGGGCGGGTACGACACGAGGGCGGGGGAGGGGGGGGGATGGCGGGAGATGGGAAATCTGGCCCGCCGTCCTGACGCCAAATCTAGCCTCACCCCTTTCTACTCGCTCACCCATAGCCACTCCCTACCCCCCTTTCTTCCCTACTGCCTCACCACCGGTGGCGGCTGCGATTTCAGATCTGCGCTAGAGGCGGCGGCATTTGTGGCGGATCTGGTGCTCCCCTTGCTGTTGGCCACCGTCTGGTCGACCTTGTTTGTGCCATGGCTCCCCATACACCGTCCTCGTTTCCGATGTCGGTAAGCAGCACCTACCCCCTTTGTTAGGTCGGTGGTTAGGTCGTTAGGCAAGGTGTAGGATCGATTTTCCACTGAACGAACCATCGATATCGACTAGGATATGGACGCACGGATGAGGCTGATAGTTCAGGCAGCAACACTGATAAGTGTGATTCAGGCATGGGTCGTGTTCATGCACCAGAGAGTTGTTCGTCGTGCTGGGAGACCTTTGATCCGCTATGGTCCATTGTTTATCCAGGAACAGGAGAGGATCCAAAATCTGAACTACATCTACAACTATAATGACGTCGAGGCTCTGTGGATGCTTTGAATGAAAAGAGCACCATTTGCCAGGCTTGTCAGACCTTCAGCAGCAAGGGGGCTGCTACAAGATAATATCAACACCAGTGTGGAAGAGCAAGTGGCCATGTTCCTCCATGTTGTTGGCCATAACCAGAGATTTAGGGTCATTCACAACACATTCAGTAGATCAATGGAGACCATCTCTAGGTACTTCAAGCAGGTGCTTTTTGCTGTTGGGGAGCTTAGAGGAGAGACGATCAGGAGACCATCTGGCCAGACTCCACCCAAGATTCACGGAAGCCCAAGATGGTATCCATATTTCAAGGTGAGCATTGACAATATACAGTTTTCATGGCTTGATATGCTTGTATTGTTCAAGTTGAGCACTAACACAGGCTTGTGATGCCATTTTTGGGGATTGCATTGGGGCAATAGATGGTACTCATGTCACTTCCAGAGTTTCTAGGTCACAGTCTGCAGCATACAGGGGGGAAGCACTACACAAGCCAGAATGTGCTTGCTGCTGTTGACTTTGATCTGAAGTTCATATATGTGTTGGCTGGCTGGGAGGGGTCAGCGCATGATGCTAACATTCTCAGTGACAGCATGAGTCGACCTGATGGGATCAACATCCCCGACGGCAAGTTCTACCTTGGAGATGTTGGCTATGCATGCCGGCCGGGTATTCCTCCACCCTTCAGGAAAACCAGGTACCATCTCAACGAGTTCTCTGATAGGAATTATCCTAGGACTGCACAGGAGCTGTTTAATCTCAGACACTCTGGCCTTAGAGTAACTGTTGAGAGGGCATTTGGAGCTCTGAAGAATAGGTTTAAGATCCTGGATCAGAAGCCGTTCCACCCATACTCCACTCAGATTAAGCTTGTTCTTACTTGTTGCATTCTGTATAACTGGATCCTCCAGTGGGGCTTTGATGAACACATGCCTGAGGAGGAAGAGGTCGAGCCTGACGATGTTGTTAACTCCGTCCATGGTGTGGAGGCATTTGACAATGACACTTGAAAGAACAAAAGGTTGGAGTGGGCAGAGCCAATGTGGCTTAACAGAGGTTAGTGCCGGATTTGAAGAAGAGGAAGAAGAAGCAGAAGCAGAAGAAGAGGAAGATCTGGTAGCAGCAACACCAATGAACTATCCCCTATTTAGCCAATGGCTCTTAATAATTTGAACTGTCATTTGACAGTAGTTAGGATGAACTGTCATTTGTTTAACTAAAGGCTTATGCAGGAAAGTAATGACAGGCATGTCCAAGTATTGGTGGGCACGATCACTTGATAAGAGAGAGATGCATTGGCAAGCTTGGTCGAAGATGGCCATCCCGAAGTTGAACGGAGGGCTTGGATTCCAAGACCTAGAGCTGTTTAATGATGCCATGTTAGCAAAACAGGCATGGAAACTCTTGGTTAATCCAGAGAGCGTGTGTTCAAGGGTGCTGCGAGGGCGGTATTACCCTGATGGAAATTTCCTACAAGCTACTTGTCCAGCTAGCTCATCCCGGACATGGCGGGCGATCATACAAGGACGGGAGGTCCTCAAGCAAGGGCTAATCCGTCGAGTGGGTGATGGACGGACTACTGAGATTTGGCACGACCAATGGATTGTTGGATCAGCCTCAGTGAAGCCGATTTGTAGGCTGTCTGAGGAACCGGTGCAGCTTGTTGCAGATCTACTGCATGAGGGTACTGGGGAATGGAATACGGAGCTACTTCACAAACTGTTCATTTGGTCTGATGTCGACAAGATTCAGAACATACCAAGACCAAGAACAGAGGAGGCAGACTACTAGGCATGGGCGTGGGAGCGTTCGGGCTCTTTCTCTGTCAGATCGGCCTACAGGGAGATCAAACAGATGCAGTTTAATGGTCAGAGTGGGCCAAGCAGCTCTTTAGGCGATGAGGATACATGGAAGAGATTATGGAAATTGAATGTTCAGCCAAAAATCCGTGTCTTCTGGTGGAGGGTGATAAAAGGGTTCCTGCCGGCAAAGGCGGAGCTCATGCGGAGACACATTGGTGATGACGCAATCTGTGAGATGTGTGGCAACAATGATGAAAGTTTATTTCATGCGCTGGTAAGCTGTAACAATGCACAACTGTTTTGGGCAGAAACACTCAGATTCTTCGGTACTGGACTTCCCTCGATGAACCCATTAACATGGACGAGGAATCTGTTGGACTCGAACTGGGTTGCTAAAGAGGATGCGGCAATTATTATCTCAGTGATGTGGACTATTTGGAGTAATAGGAACAAGTATACACATGGTGAGATTCAGTACCAACCTGTTCGGTCTATGGAAATCATTCAGGAACATATAAGATCTCTTGACATCCCGTCCATGCAGCAACCTGTACAACGTCAGATAGCTAAATGGACACCCCCATTAGAGGGGGTGGTGCAACTTCATTCAGATGCAGCGACCGATGTGGTACAGGGAAGGGATCACGAAGGACACTTCCTTGGGGGAAGATATACCCCATATAATGGGATCACAGACCTGTATGTGTGCGAAGCATTGGAGTGCAGAGACACTATGGTATTAGCAAAGGAGAAAGGCTGGACTAGGGTTGAGATCATCTCGGATTTCAAGACAGTGGTGGAAGACTGGAATGCAAGAACTGACCGAACGGTTTGTGGCCCTATATTCAGAGAGATAGCTTCATATCT